GGAAGGATGGAAGGAGAAAGAGGGAGAGAGGGAAGGAGGGAGGAAAGAGGGAAGGAAGGAAAGACAAAAGGGAAGGAAGGAAGGGTACAAGAAGGATGCAAGGGAAGGAGGAAGGAAAAAGGAAAGGAAGGATGAAAGGAAGGATGGAAGGAAGGAGAAAGAGGGCGAGAGGGAAGGAGGGAGGAAGGAAAGACAAAAGGGAAGGAAGGAAGGAAGGAAGGAAGAGAGGAAGGGAAGAAAGGAAGGAAAGGAAAAAGAGAAGGAAGGAAGAAAGGGATGAAGAGAAGAAGGGAAGGAAAGGGAGAAGGAAAGAAAGACAAAAGGGAAGGAAGGAAGGAAGGAAGGAAGGAGAAAGAGGGAGAAAAGAGGGAAGGAAGGGTGAAAGGGTGGAAGGGAAGAATGGAAGGAGAAAAGGAGGGAAGGGAGGGAGGGAGGTAAGGAGGAAGGAAGGAAGGAAGGAAGGAAGGAAGGGAGGGAGGGAGGGAGGGAGGGAGGGAGGAAGGAAAGACAGACAAAAGGGAGGGTATAACAAAAGGGTGAAAGGGATGGATGGATGGATGGATGAATGGATGGAGAGAGAGGGGGGGAGGGATGAAAGGATGGAAGGGAAGGAGAAAGACAGAGGGAAGAAGGAAGGAAAAAGACAAGGAAGGATAGGATCGTGTGAGAGAGGAGGGCCTGAGAAAAGAGCCCAAGGGGCCACATCTGGCCCCTGGGCCTGGGTTTACTCATACCCGATATAAAACATGCAATGTGGTACTGTGATGATGGCACTGCCAGCTACAAACTGTACCAAAGTTTAGAGAAGATTTCCAAAACATTTTCATATTGGTGACACACTTTTTAAAGCTGTATCATTTTGCAACACAGTAATTCAGTTTTACTAGTAAACTGGGGGTTAAACCAACCTCTTATAAGAAATATGGACACCTACATACACTGTAATAATGAAATGTGTGGGGGCACAACAAATCTCAGGAAAACTTTTCATTTATATTTTTAAAAACATGATTTGTAAGATAGTAACATATTTCTTAGATTTTTGTCATTTCATTTGAAGTCATGCAATACACTGCTGCCAACACACTAAATGGCAGGACACTGTTTGAAAAGCCCTGGTCTAGAGAGAAACCAAAAGAAAAGTTTCTCCTTGGTTTTGCTTTCAGTAATCAGAGCTTGGGAATGTTTCTGTTTGGACTTTAACTCACTGACTGAGGAATTAAGGCACATCTACAGCGTAAAATTAATCCAGTTTGACAACACTTTAACTCCCTTGGCTCAATAGTATGGAATCCTGGGAGTTGTCGTTTCACAAATTATTGGTGCCTGAGCAAACTACAACTCCCATGATTCCGTAGTATTGAGCAAAGACCAAAGTGGTGTCATGTTGCATTCATTTGACAGGATAGAAGCACCATTTGGGAGTTGTAGTCCAAACAAGAACTTTCTCATGTTCTGACAAGGCCATATGACAGTAAACCACTCGTGCCAAGGTACGGCCCTTCTATGTTGTATGATAAGAGAATCATAAAGCCAAAGGCATCTACACTGTAGAATTAATGCAGTTTCATACCACTTTAACTGTCATGTCTCAATGTTATGAAATCATGAGAGTTGTAACTTTACAAGGTCTGTAGCTTTCTCTGCCAAAGAGAGCTGGTGCCCCACCAAACTACAACTCCCAAAATCCCATAGAAATGAGCCATGGCAGTTAAAATGGTGTCACACTACATTAAGACCACAATGTATTGTAGATGAACCTTAGAGGGCCTGTCAAGTTTCTAGCACTTCAAACCCACAACTCATGAGATACCGACACACAAGATCAGCCTCTGAAAAAACCCACAGGACAATCCTGCCCTTCCACACAAGCGGATTAACGAGATTTTAGTCTGGCGAGGCTCAAAAGAAACCAATTGACTCCCTGCTGGCAAATCTATGCTTGTAACTTCCCGGATCCTCTGGCAAACCTCAGAAGGCAGCTTGCTTTCAATGTTTCCCTAACAGGAAACTAAGCATCCTGAATATCTATTATCTGGAATTCCAAATTCCAAAATACTCCCAAACCCAAAATTGTCCACATGGATGGCTGAGAGAGTGACTTTTGCATTCTGACAGTTCAATGTACACAAGTTTCGTTTCATGGGCAAAATTATTGAAAATACTGTATACATTTACTTTCAGAGTGGGTGTGTAAAGTATAAAGGTTAAGGTTTCCCCTTGACATTAAGTCTAGCCGTGTCCGACTCTGGGGGGTGGTGCACATCTCCATTTCTATGATGAAGAGTTGGCATTGTCCATAGACACCTCCTTGGTCATGTGGCCAGCTTGACTGCATGGAACGCCATTACCTTCCCGCTGGAGTGGTACCTATTGATCTACCCACATCTGCATGTTTTTCGAATTGCTAAGTTGGCAGAAACTGGGGCTAACAACAGGAGCTCACCCTGCCTGCAGATTTGAACTGCCGACCTTCCAGTCAGGAAGTTCAGCAGCTCAACGGTTTAATGTGTTGCACCACTGTGGCCCCCAAAAGTGCAGAAGAAAAAGAAACGGAAACTATAGTGTCACTGTCCTCATTGACCAAGCCCTGGCATTCCATGTTTTCAAACTGCTAGGTTGGCAGGAGCTACAGCTAACAACGGAAGCTCACCCTGGATGCGGATTCGAACCGTCAACCTTCTGATCAGCAAGTTTGCGGCTTAGCAGTTTAACCCGCTGTGCCACTGCAGCCCCTTAAAGTATATATGAAGTACATATGAAACAAAAAAACATTTCAGGTTCAGATGTGGGTTCAATTGCCAACTGTATGTCAACATTGTAGAACGAATGCAGTTTAACATCACTTTCCCCGCCCTGGCTCAATACTATGGAATCATGGGAGTTGTAGGATGCCATCACTCTTTGGCGGAGACAGCTGGTTAAACTGTATAGCGTTTTTAGGCATGTTAATAGGTTTTAACTGTTGATCTAAGTAGTTGTGATGTTTAATCGTATTTTAGTGTTTAGTGGGTTAAACCGCTGAGCTGCTGAACTTGCTGACCAAAAGGTTTAAATTTGGGGAGTGGCGTGAGCTCCCGCTGTTAGCCCCAGCTTCTGTCAACCTAGCAGTTCGAAAACATGCAAATGTGAGTAAATCAATAGGTACCACTTTGGCGGGAAGATAACGGCACTCCATGCAGTCATGCAGGCCATATGACCTTGAAAGTGTCTATGGATAATGCTGACTCTTCGGCTTAGAAATGGAGATGAGCACCACCCCCCAGAGTTGGACACGACTGAACTTAATGTCAGGGGAAAACCTTTACCTGTGTTTTTAGCCGTTTTGAGTCACTTTGGGGAGAGAATCAGCAGGGTATAAATAATAATAATAATAATAACGTGTGATCCAATACAAAACCCAGCATTGCTGTGTACTAATCTTGTTGTGTACCAAATAATAATAGTGATAATTGTATATTGTGTTGTTTTACCAGGCATGGGCAAACTTCGGCCCTCCAGATGTTTTGGACTTCAATTCCCACAATTCCTAACAGCCTACCGGCTGTTAGGAATTGTGGGAGTTGAAGTCCAAAACATCTGGAGGGCCGATGTTTGCCCATGCCTGTGTTAACGCTTTGGGTCTCTTTTCAGGCTTTAAATAAATAACTATAATATATAATAACTATATAATATAATGTGTTATATTGTTTTGTATTTTATTTTTTATTTTCATTATATTTTACTGTATGTATTTATGTTGTATAGTTGCTGTACCCTTGGGCTTGGCCTCATGTAAGCTGCCCCGAGTCCCCTTAGGAAGATGATGGCAGGATATAAATAAAGTTTTATTATTATTTCATGGGCTGGAATCACTGGGTTGTTGTGAGTTTTCCAGACTGTCTGGCCACATTACAGAAGCACTCTCTCCTGACGTTTTGCCTGCATCTATGGCAGGCATCCTGAGAAGGATATAAACCCCACTTTCTTAGTTTCCAACAAACCTTACAACCTCTGAGGATGCCTGCCATAGATGCAGGTGAAACATCAGGAGAGAATGCTTCTGGAACATGGCCAGACAGCCTGGAAAACTCACAGCAAGCTATAATAATAATAATAATAATGACAACAACAGCTCTCATGATTCTATAGAAGGCCTAATAAGCATACTAACAACAGTAATAATGTCTTATGTGTAAGCCAATGCAAAAGCCAAGATAGTGATCTTGTTTGCTGTGTACTAATCTTGTTGTGTATCAGATAATAATAACAATCTGTATACTGTATTGTTTTACCAGGCATGGGCAAACTTGGACCCTCCAGATATTTTGGACTCCAACTCCCAATTCCTAACAGCCGGTAGGCTGTTAGGAATTCTGGGAGTTGGGAGTCCAAAACACCCGGAGAGCCCAAGTTTGCCCATGCCTGTTCTATAGCATTCTAATAATAATAATAATAATAATAATAATAATAATAATAATAGGATCTTGTTTGCTGTGTACTAATCTTGTTATGTATCAGATAATAATAGTAATAATAATAACAACAACAACTATATATTGTATTGTTTTACCAGGCATGGGCAAACTTGGGCTCTCCAGGTGTTTTGGAATCCAACTCCTAAAGTTTTGTTGTTGCTGCTGTTAGGAATTATGGGAGTTGGAGTCCAAAACACCTGGAGAGCCCAAGTTTGCCCATGCCTGTCTTAATAATAATAATAATAATAATAATAATAATAATAATAATATCAAGTGATGTCAAACTGCATTCATTCTACAGTGCAGATCAGGCATGCCATAGTTAAGTTTGGCAGTACTTAGGAAACTCCAAATCCCACCCTCCCTCAGCAAACCCACCTCTTCCCTCCCGCAACGTGTTTCCTTCCTGTGTTCCCGTTCCCAGCCCTCAAACTGACGGGAAAGTCCCTCCAAGCTTTCTTGGAAGCCATGCCACTCGTTGCAGAGGAGCAGCAATCTCAGAGGTTTGCACTCTGCACATGCTCTTCCTCCTCTCCAGCCTACCTTTCCAATCCCCTCCGCCGGGACCGAACTTCCCTTCCGCTGGCTCTCCTTTCCCAGCGCCGCCTGGCTCACTCTCCAAGCCCTGCCCCAGCTGCTGGCTCCCCGGGAGTCCCGCCCCCTCGGCCGCGACACTGATCGAAGGCGGCCAATCGCCGCCGCGCTCTGAGGGTTCTTCGGCAGGGGGCGCTCTCCGGCGGCCAATCAGCGCGCGCCTCCGCTTTCACTCTTCACCGGGCTGTTCCGGGCTCGGCTTCCTCCTCCCGCTGCTCTTCTGGAAAGCCAGCTGAGTTCCGGGCAGTGCGTGACGTCGGCAGCGCTGCTGTTGTCTTCGCCTCCGGAGGGCGGGGGCGTGTGTGTCTGACTGTTTGGAATCCTTAGGCTGCTCCTGATTGGCTGAGAGGAGCACATAGGGATGAGGGGGCTAGGAAGTGGGAGAAGGGCTTTCATGTGCACCTAGGTAGCCATCCCATCCCCTTGTGGAGCCTAATAATAATAATAATAATAATAATAATAATATAGAATAATACAATATTATATAATTATATGTTGATGTTGTTGTTGTTGTTGTTGTTCATTCGTTCAGTCGTCTCCGACTCTTCGTGACCTCATGGACCAGCCCACGCCAGAGCTCCCTGTCGGCCGTTACCACCCCCAGCTCCCTCAAGGTCAGTCCAGTCACTTCAAGGATGCCATCCATCCATCTTGCCCTTGGTCGGCCCCTCTTCCTTTTTCCCACTTTCCCCAGCATCATTGTCTTCTCTAAGCTTTGCTGTCTCCTCATGATGTGGCCAAAGTACTTCAACTTTGTTTCTAGTATCCTTCCCTCCAATGAGCAGTCGGGCTTTATTTCCTGGAGGATGGACTGGTTGGATCTTCTCGCAGTCCAAGGCACTCTCAGAATTTCCTCCAACACCACAGTTCAAAAGCATCTATCTTCCTTCCCTCAGCCTTTCCTAAGGTCCAGCTCTCACATCCGTAGGTGACTACAGGGAATACCATTGCTTTAACTATGTGGATCTTTGTTGCCAGTGTGATGTCTCTACCTTCACTATTTTATCGAGATTGGACATTGCTCTCCTCCTAAGAAGGAGACGTCTTCTGATTTCCTGACTGCAGTCTGCATCTGCAGTAATCTTTGCACCTAGAAATACAAAGTCTGTCACGGCCTCCACAGTTTCTCCCTCTATTTTCCAGTTGTCAATCATTCTTGTTGCCATAATCTTGGTTTTTTTGACATTTAGCTGCAACCCGGCTTTTGCGCTTTCTTCTTTCACCTTGATTAGAAGGCTCCTCAGCTCCTCCTCGCTTTCGGCCATCAGAGTGGTGTCATCTGCATATCTGAGGTTGTTAATGTTTCTTCCAGCAATTTTCACCCCAGCTTTGCATTCTATCAAGCCCCGCACATCGCATGATGTGTTCTGCATACAAGTTAAAAAGGTTGGGTGAGAGTATGCAGCCTTGCCGTACGCCTTTCCCAATCTTGAACCAGTCTGTTGTTCCGTGGTCAGTTCTGACTGTTGCTACTTGCTCCTTGTACAGATTCCTCAGGAGAGAGACAAGGTGGCTTGGGATGCCCATCCCACTAAGAACTTGCCACAATTTATTATGATCCACACAGTCAAAGGCTTTAGAATAGTCAATGAAGCAGAAGTAGATGATTTTCTGAAACTCCCTGCCTTTCTCCATTATCCAGCGGATATTGGCAATCTGGTCTCTCGTTCCTCTGCCTTTTCTAAACCCAGCTTGAACATCTGGCAACGCTCGCTCCATGTATTGCTGGAGTCTTCCTTGCAGGATCTTGAGCATTACCTTACTGGCATGAGAAATAAGGGCCACTGTACGGAAGTTTGAGCAGTCTTTCACATTTCCCTTTTTTGGTATGGGGATATAAGTTGATTTTTTCCAGTCTGATGGCCATTCTTGTGTTTTCCATATTTGCTGGCAAATGGCATGCATCACCTTGACAGCATCATCTTTTAAGATTTTAAACAGTTCAGCTGGGATCCCGTCATCTCCTGCTGCCTTGTTGTTAGCAATGCTTCTTAAGGCCCAGTCAACCTCACTCCTCAGGATGTCTGGTTCTAATTCATTCACCACACCGTCAAAACTATCCTCAATATTATTATCCTTCCTATACAGATCTTCTGTATAGTCTCGCCACCTTCTCTTGATCTCTTCAACTTCTGTTAGGTCCCTGCCATCTTTGTTTCTTATCATACCAATTTTTGCCTGAAATTTACCTCCAATGTTTCTAATTTTCTGGAAGAGGTCTCTTGTCCTTCCTATTCTGTTGTCTTCTTCCCCTTCCATGCATTGCTTATTTAAAAATAGTTCCTTATCTCTTCTGGCTAACCTCTGGAATTGCGCATTTAACTGGGCATATCTCCCCTTATCCCCGTTTCCTTTTGCTTTCCTCCTTTCTTGGGCTACTTCCAGTGTCTCAGCAGACAACCATTTTGCCTTCTTGGTTTTCTTTTTCTTTGGGACGTACTTTGTTGCCGCCTCCTGAACGATGTCGCGGACTTCTGTCCATAGTTCTTCTGGGACTCTGTTTACTAAATCTAGTCCTTCAAATCTGTTAT